CAGCGGCAGCACCCTCTGGCTGTGGAAGGCGGCCACGACCACAGCCACAGTAAGGTGGTGGTCCCGCAGCCTCTACCCCTCTAGGAGCGGCTGTAGCTTGGGCTGATCCTCCCCCGGGACGCCATACTTCCACCGCTCCGGGCTGCTCCCCACAATCCGCCAAGTGTAGGGGGGAAGTCCGCCGTCGTCATTACGAAGGTAGAACCAGCTCGTGTATCATCGACGGTTGGATGACGCGAGCTGGGCCGGGATGTAGAGATGCTGATGATCCTGGCGCACTTGGAGAGTGCAGCCACCGGCCCTCATCGCCTTCCTCATGCCCGACGTGCCCACCGGCTTGGTGGTATGCCCTGCCTGGAAGAGATGGAGCCACAACTCCTAATGGGGAGCAATCCCCAGATACCCCTCGCAGACATCGACGAAGATGGCCGCCTGCGTGATAGAATTGGGGTTGAAGTTATGGAGCTCCACGCCATAGTAGTGTGGGAGCGCCCACATGAATCGGTTCGCAAGAACGCCGAGGCCACGCTCGTGAAAGGACACGAAGCTCACGACGAAACCGTCGTGAGGCCTCGGCTCCGGCTCGCCCAACGGAGCGATCCGCTCTGGCCTATTGGGGTCGATCACCGGGCGAAGCAGCCCACCGTCGACGAGCGACTGAAGCATCTCCACGGTGACGTCGGATGGATCCCAAGGGTCCGCCTCGATGACAACAATGTCGCCTGCCATGAGTGCGGTGGAGGGCTCGACTACGACGGTGAGTCTCTCTCTCTCTCTCTCTCTCTCTCTCTCTCTTTCCTTTCTTCCTCCTGGGGCTTTCTGCTCTGGCGATGGCTCAAAGACAGCAAAGCTAATACGGGCAAGGTAAGGAGGGGAGGAGCGAGGCTCGTTGCGTATTTATGCAGGGTGAAGGCGAAACGGACGGACGACGAAATTGGGGAAGTTTCCCTCAGATCCGGCGTGGTTAATCCAGATCCGATTCTACCGCCCACGCGCCCACCTTTTCCTCATTAAACGCGGGAACAGTTACGTCCCATCCACTGACGCCACGTCATGTCCGACCGATGCAGCAACAGACGTCGTTCCGCCCTCCCAGGAAATCGCCTAAAAAGGCGCACCGGCCGTTGTTGAATCAATGGGGGAAACATCCCCCCACCCTATTCCTTTCAGGTGAAGGAACCGGGCACCGAGCCCGTTACGGTCCAGGGGTTAAGTAAAATGGGGGCCCGAGGGTTTCGGCAACCGCCCGTGATAGCGAGTTAGGAACAACTATGGGTGAGCCCGTACATGGCCGAGACCCAAGCAAACACAACGCTTGGGACGCCCTAAGTCATGTCCGTGACCAGCAGGGAGTTCTCCGAATGGGACCCCACCGTAGGGAGGCGCCGAGCCCCCGGGGCCAATCGAACGGCCCCAGGACCCAATAGAGAAGCCCTCTGGTACCTTTGGATTGTGTCTCTGGACCGCTAGCCGACCCTTATCGAATGGGGCATGGGCCTCCACTCGGACTTACCCGATAGCAGCTCACCGGGAGTGTCACCACTCGCGCCCACCGAGGGTAGCCTGGCATATTCTGCCCCTCCTTCCGAGCGAAAAGGATGCGCAAGGGTCGCATAAAAAGCCAGGGGAACTCTTGACCACCCTCTCGCTCTGTGCGGAGGCTCGGGGGCTCTCCCTACAAACCTTGCCGAGACCCAGCGACCTAGGCTCGCCCTCGAGGGGGTTTCAGCAAACAAATCCCTCCTTCCGAATGAAAAGGTTGCGTGAGGGTCGTACAAAAAGCCAGGGGAACTCCTAACTGCCCTCTTGCTCCGGGTAGAGGCTACGGAGCTCTTCCTGCAAATATGTCGGGGCCCCGCGACCCAGGCTCGCCCCCGAGGCGGTCTCAGCAAACAAACCCTCACGCGCGAGAGGCGTATAAAAAGCCAGGAAAGCACCCGACGGCCCTCTCGCTCCATGCAGAGGCTAGGGGGCTCTTCCTGCGGGTTTGCCGAGACCCAGTGACCCAGGTTCGCACACGAATGGGCTCGGCAAACAACCCCCTGACCGCCCTCTAGCTCCGTGTGGAGGCTCGGGGGCTCCTTCTGCACTCAAGACAAGGACAAGCCACCTAGGCCCGCACTCATACATTCGAAAAAAGCAACAAAAAGGGCGCCAAGCCCGTTACGGTCCAGGGGTTTGAAGGCTGGACCACCGAGGGTTTCGACAGCCATGGCCCGAGCAAGCGATCGCTCGGGACGCCCTAAGTCATGTTCGAGACCAGCGGGGAGTTCTCCGAATGGGATCCCACCGTAGGGAGGCGCCGAGCCCCTGAGGCCAATCGAACGGCCCTAGGACCCAATAGAGAAGCCCTCTGATACCTTTAGAGTGCGTCTCTAGACCACTAGCCGACCCTTATCGAATGGGGCACGAGCCTCCACTCGGACTTACCCGATAGCAGCTCACCGAAAGTGTCACCGCTCGTACCCACCGAGGGTAGCCTAGCACATTCCACCCCTCCTTCCGAACGAAAAGGAAGCGCGAGGGTTGTATGGAAAAGCTAGGGGGAACCCCTGACGGACCTCCCTATAGAGGCTAAGGGGCTCTCCCTGCAACTTTGCCGAGACCAGCGACCAAGGTTCGCACTCGAGGGGGCTCGGCAAACAAACCCCTCCTTCTAAACGAAAAGGTTGCGCGAGGGTCGTACAAAAAGCCAGGGGAACTCCTGACGGCCCTCTTACTCCGGGCAGAGGCGAGGGAGCTCTTCCTGCAGATATGCTGAGGCCCCGCGACCCAGGCTCGCACCCGAGGGGGTCACAGCAAACAAACCCTCACGCGTGAGAGGCGTATAAAAAGCCAGGAGAACACCTGATGGCCTTCTCGCTCTGTGCAGAGGCTAGGGGGCTCTTCCTGCAAAGTTTGCCGAGACCCAGCGACCCGAACTCGCATTCACGGGCCCTGCGAGCACGATAAGACCCCTTGCTCAATGGAGAAAAAAGCCCCTGAAGGAGTAAACCCACTCCTCCAGGGCCTCGGGGGCTACACCTGGCGGGTGCGCTCGCGCGCACCCACCAGAACCACCAAGTACAAACCACGATCCCGACAGGAGCTGTTGCGAACCAAGTCTCATCAAAAACCTCAGGAGAGTGCCCGCACTCCTCCCGAGGCTCGGGGGCTACTATCGGATACCACAAGAATGGGTACCCTAAGCAAGATCCAAGAATATTGCTTAGGCCTTGCTAAAACCAAAGCCAAAAGACTACTGCAAGGTCTCGGCAGAATTCTCCAATTCGCCCGAGGCCTTGCGCCGAGGCCTCATGCGAAACAGGCCTAAAACGTCCCGTCGAGGCCCTCTCGCCGAGACCCTCTCGCCAAAGCCTCGCCCCGAAATGCCTCGGACAGATCTCCAATTCTTCGATTCGCTCGAGGCCGGGCTCGGCGGACGTACTCGTAACCTCTTTCCCGACCGAACTCCTCTGACAAACGTCACGTCCGGATTAAATGCATCCAACCACTCTCACAAACGTCAGCCGCACGCAGGTACAGTGCGGGCAGAACAACTGACAGGACAGGATCCGGGCATAGCAGGGGTTACCTGCCACTATACTCACCACTGTGCTCCCTCCTGACACTTATACTGCCCTGTGCTATCTAACCCCTGCGCCAAGGACAAAGCGGCATGGAAGGTCGAGTCCATGTCCCTGTAGCCTTGGAAACAGCAGGAGAGCCCAGCCGCTCGGTCTCTGCCTCATCCGAGACCCCCCGGCAAGGCCTCGGACGCGCCATTCCTTCTCCGCCTCGGCCGAGGCCGGGCTCGTCCCGCATTCTCGTCGCCTCCGCCTCGATTGCCCCTCTGGCGGGCCGTCCCATCTGTGTAAGTATCCCTAGTTACGCCTACGTCAGCCACGATCGGCAGAGTATGGCAAAAAGGGCGACGGAACGGCGGTCAAATCACCTTTTTACCATCCCCTATTGATGGTGCAGAGACTACGGCTCCCTGCGGACGCCCATTCCGCACTTTTTCACCGGAATCGGGTACGACACAGACCACCGAGACCCCTACGTCGTACACATGTCACCTCCAAGGCCTCGGTAAAGAAGGCCTCGGCACGATCAGCTCCAGCACCCGCTAGGCCTCGGCACTCCACCAGGATAAGAGTCCACCAGGCACGGCATGTCACCTACAGTGGAGGCCGTACTGACTAGACGTCAACAAGGACCTTTACGACTTCAACAGCCTCAGGCATGGCCTGCGTAACGCACCAGTGATCAAGTACCAATTACCATTCCCGACACTGTGTTGCTACAGGAATAGGCTACAGTACTGGATCCTCCTTTCTCGCTAAGACTTCACGTGTAGCTCTCTCATGTACTCCTGGCTCCCTCCTTATGGCTATAAAAGGAAGCAGCCAGGGCCGTTTCAAGGGATCGGAAAAAACCACGCCAGCCCTCACGCAAAAACGCACTCACTCAATTCACGCGCGCTCCCACGTTGCCTGAGAGCAACGACTCAAGCAGCCCGCACCACTCCACACCGAGACCTGGGACTAGCTCCCTCTCTCATCCAGCTTGTAACCCCCTACTACAAGCACTTCGGTGCAAGGAATACAAGATCGATCTCCTAGACTGGACGTAGGGCACTAATTGCCTGAACCAGTATAAACCTTGTGTCTCTTTGCATCACCATTTGGGACTAGAGGCACGCAGTTCACATTTACTAGTTGGTCGAGGACCCCGTCCGAAACACCGACGGTAGTAGTAGTTGCCCGGCTGGCCGGCATGACCGTATCCCTGGATGGCCGGATTGTAGAAGCCTGCAGGGCCGGTGACAGGGCCGGCAGGGGCACCAAATAATCTGCGCTGGCTAACAGCGCCATGGCTACCTTGCTGGACGACGGCAGCGCCATAGACGACAGGGACGGCAGCATGGCCGTTGCTACCCTGGCCGGCGGCACCGGTGGGCGTGTCGATGGCACACGCGATGTGTAGTTTGAGGGAAGAGCCGATGTAGTGCCACCTGGCTAAAGGATGGTGGCAGAGCAGCTCCCGGGCGACTCTGACGAGAACATACAGAGCTGATGGTCTGGATCGAAAGGGCTAGCAACCCTCTCTGGGAGCATCGAGCAGAGAGGGTGCACGTCGAAGCCGCAGCCGGTGCAGTTGTACACGAAGCTCCCTTGAGGGCAGTCCCCTCTGCAGATGTCGCAGAGACGTCCAGGGCTGCGCCTGAGCTTCAGGGGGTGTGCCGGATGCGCGAAGAAGCAGGAGAGGGTCTCCGGGAAGTAACGGGCACACGCGCTGTGGAGGTGGATGTTGCAGGAGTAGCGGCCGTAGGTGAGACTGCGGAGCCCGGCGAGTTTGAGCAGGCAGATGTTGCACAGACCAGCCTCGTCATGGCGGTACTGCGTCTGCTCAAGCGGGTGGGGGTCGGCAAAGTGTCGTATCGACTCCATGGATGCTGGTGTTGTGCTGTGGAGAAACACTGTTTCTGGAGCTCTGGAATGGATTTGCCACCGCGTCATCGGAGGAGGTAATTATACTACTGCGCTAGCTACCTTCAATCACAGCCGCGGCCTAACGTACACGCACTATGGGGCCCATTTGTGTATTTCGACGAAAATATGCTCTCTCTCTTTTTGTCTGTGTTTTTCTTTATTATGGAAATATGAAGTCTACTCCCTCCCACCAACTGCACCTTCTAGGCAAGCACGAGCATGACCTCTTATTTCAAGTGGAAGTTGTAAATGTTTTGTGCTAGACACGAGTACGTATAGTATGTACTGTGAAATGCAAATAATGCAAAAACGAGCAGTGTAGTTTCTAGCTAATTTTTTGCCAGGAAATATCTTTCAATAATGGATTGACATGGTCTTCTTTCACTAATACAAAATTTATTTCAAGAGACATGCCATTTTCTTTGAGACGGACTAGAAATTTTGATGTCTCCCAAAATCTCTAATCAATTTGGAGACACGCAATCCATTTCAAGAGGTGGTCCAAAAAAGTCCATCTTCGTAAATTGATTAACAGAGCACATTTTCAGTGGAGACTTGTCAATATATCAAGTCAGTTAGCAATTAGTGTGGCCCATCCCAGCCCGATAGCAAACTGAGAGTATATAGAGCGAGAAACCCCGGCCTCCTCCTCACTCTTCTCTCTCCCTTAGCTGCAGCACTCTACGTAGGGATGTCAATGGGTACCCGCCACCCGTTTACCCGTGGGTAAAAACCCTATTAGGGTGCGGGTTTGGGGGATTTTGCCCCCCACGGGTATGTTACTGGGTGATTACCTCTCCCATCGGGTGAAGCGGGTGTGGGTGCATTCTTGTATACCCCAAACCTGTTACCCAATGGGTCCCCCGTTTGAGTATGACATGTAGGACCATCCAGTCATTATACAGTATATAGAGCTATAAAACCCTAGCGTTCCAATCCAATTCCTCATTCAGCCGGCCGCCGCCACCCTTCTGGGCTTCTAGCTCTCTCATCGGCTCATCCTCTCTCCGCCTCCGCCCTCGTTCCCCTGGTCCCTAGACCTGCGCCGGCCACATCGCCGCCGCTCCTTGCGCCAGCCACGTCGCTGCTGGCCCGCTGCTCCCTGCGCCGGCAGGCCATGGAGCCAAGGATGGCTTCACCTCCCGTGGATGGAAGGTGCTCGAGCCCTGAGCGCGCAGAAGAAGGTGGGGTCGCCGGGGATGGGTCCAGCTCGGCGGCGGAGGGCAGCTCGTCGCCATCTCCAAGGTCACCACCGTCGGCTCTACAGATCCAGATTGGGCCGGTGGCTCCTCACCAGAGACGCCCACTTCATCTCGTGCACGGTGAGCTTTTTGAATCCTCTACTTTTCTGTATCTCTTGCGGATTTGCGGTACTAGTATTAACTTTATTGAAGATTAAAAAAGATTGTATGTGCCTTATTGTGCTAACTGTTGGTTAATTTGTATAAAATTATTTACTCAGCTTGTATGCAAAGTTGCACTAACTGTTTTGAAATTAGTATACCTCGTCGATTGAAGTTGAACTAACCAGTTCCTTCACTTGCCAATTCAGGCTTCCAGTCTACTATTAGCGCTCGTGTTGCAAGTCGAAGGCCAATGGCAGCCAGATTCAGAACTGAGCTTGACAGGTACTTGGATGATGAGTATGTTCCAATAGAGGCTGGTAACTTGAACATTCTAGATTGGTGGAAGGTGGTTGGGACGCGGTATCCTACATTGAGTAAGATAGCACGTGACATATTTGCTATTCCAGTCACACAGTTGCATCAGAGTCTGCTTTTAGCACCAGTGGGCGGGTTCTTAGTGAGCACCGTAGCCGGCTTACTCTGGAGATCTTGGAGGCACTTATGTGTTCACAAGATTGGATGCGTCGCAAGTATATAGGTATATATTCTGTTCTGTACATTTCATTTCAACATTTTCTAATCTTGTTTTCTAACAATTGTTGTAAATCTACTTTCAAATGCTACCAATGTCTACAAGCCTGAGACCTTTTGGAGCTGTCTTCAAGAGATGCAGGAAGGGATGCAGGTGATGTGTAATGTGTTAACCTTTTCATTGTCAGATTCAATTACATTGTATACTAACTATCCTATCTTATGCAGAAACTTCTACTTTGACATGGCCCTGATATGAGCAAGGAAGTGAAGGATGCATCATGAGCTCCAAATGTGTCCAACAGCTTGCAATTCTAGCATTTCAATTAACTTAGTGTCATGAATTCTTAGTTAATTATTGTGTCATGAACTCTTAGTTGATCGTTAGCTGCGGTCGAGGACATGTAAGTTGTAACGCTTGCTTGCATACTTGCATGATCATTCTGAATTTCTGATGATGTTAGCTTTGTGAACTTATGTTGTTGTCTTGTTGAATCATGGTGTGTAATTCTATTGTTAAGTGGGGATGGGTCACCCGATGGGTACCCGTTACCCTCGCGGGTGGCGGGTCTGGGTGAATTTGAGACCCGACACAGGTGACAGGTGCGGGTGACGGGGTGTTCTAACCCTGATGGGGGTGGGTGTGTTCTTCTGCCCCCAACCGGGTTTCTCACCCGTTGCCATCCCTAACTCTACGTCTCTTCTTCCCCACACCACCCTCTTATCTGCTTCTAGGGCAAGTGGCGGCGCTGGCCCAGTGTGTCCCCGGCATGGCCTCGGCGTGGAGGGCAGTGGCGTGGGGTGCGGTGCACGTGCCAAGCGCGAGTCGAGGGTCGCGGCAGCGGGCTCACCACAAATCCGGAAGCGCGGCGGCCGTCTATGGCGGAGCGCGGCTGCGCGAGGATGGCGGATCTAGGCAGCGGGCTCGGCTAGGCTCGACGGTGGGCTCTGTATGGGCTCGGTTTCCCTTTTTTGTTCTTTTATATGGATTTAAAGAGACGGGCACGGAGCACTGCCTCTAGTAATCGTGATTGACACACTAATGGTAGGCTGAATACGGACAGCCTGCTGACCTCCATAAATCCTTTTTGACCATCTCAGAACATTTGTACTATGCTAGTGTTCTGCTGTCTCCTGTTTTATTTTCTTCTAAGTGTTCCCTATTGTTTTTATTAGATGAAAGGCGATGCTGTGGGCAGAGCCTCCCCCCCAGATCAGCATAAAAAATATATGGTACACAAAATAACAACGTTGCCCAAACTAAGGCTACGCATTTGTAGGTAAGCTCTGTGGTTTGGACTTAAAAGGAAAATGAAAAACCATTGACAGTCGATGGCAGAAGACATTTTAAGCATGGAGTCATGACTCATGAGTTAGTTGATCTTGTGTGAAGTGATATATATCATAAAAGTTTCTTTGTGGGTAATTATATATATGTATATTTGTTTTCTGCAGCAATTTCGAGTTTCCTAGCTAGCGCTGTTTTTGTTTTTGTTGCCTTTTATTTCTTTTTTTATCTGTCTCTTTGACGAGGCCATCAACCAGTATTTATTCCAACTTTATTAAATTAAATTAATATTATCTTGTGTCGTTAGTTCAAAAGGAACTAGCGGTTAAAAAATATCACACGCTCGTTCTAAAAGAAAAAAATCAGGCAGTATATTGACTCAATTTGGTCAAATATTTATAGAATTTTAGTAATGCAACCGTGTAACCGTATTGCAGCTAACATTATTGTATGATTGGAGCAGCTCACCTGTATTAATGACGATGATGTTGAATTGGCTCTCATTTCCCTAATTTCAGATCCTATTACTTATAGGGTTCCATAGGCCAAGTGGACTTGTTTCAAACGAACTACCGTTTTGTTTGTTCAGTACCTGCATTGGACCCCATGTGTATTGGCTCCATAGCCCAAGTGGACTTGCTTCAAACTACCGTTTTTTTTTTTTGAACTCTGCTTCAAACTACCGTGTTGTTTGTTCAGTACCTGCCGAGGAGGAGGAGAGACGTCGCAGCCAGGCCCGGCGCCGGGGCCGGTGCGGCTACCCTCGGCGGCCTCGTCATGAGCGCGGCGTCGGCGGAGGCGGCCTGTGGGGAGGTGCGCAGGGCTGGGGCCGCTGTGGCACCCCTGGGCGTCGGCGGAGGCGGGGTGCGGGGCGGCGCGCGGTGGTGGCGACGCCGCCGGAGACGATGCAGATCGGGAGGGTTTTCCCCCTTTCTGTCGGTACAGGGGCGGTGGACTTTCTCGTCGGAGTCGCCGCAGTTTTTTTATATCTGGGCCCCGCTGTGCAGCGGCCGCGTTTAAGGCAGGAGAGGCTGGGCAGGCGTGGCGGGCATCCACCGTCAGCAGTCAGGATCGGACGGACAGCAGGGATTCACTGTGGATGAACAGGGTTATGTGAGAGGAGAACCAAAGGTACTGTTCATAAGGCTTTTATAGATGTATGTATGGAGACATATTAGCGAAAAACTAGCTAGTGGCATTCAACTATAGCCATTTTGACCAAATTGACTGCCCATTGGGATTGAATCTTTGTAGCCGCAAAACTTCCCGGGCCTGTTTGGAACAAAGGTTTTCCGTAGGAAAAATGAAGAAAACAAAAACGGAGGAAAGGAAGACGAGAAGACCGTTTGGAACGAAGGAAACGAGCGGACCCTTTCCTCCGAAAGCCTGTAGCAACAACACTGTTTCACAGAAAAAAAAAAGCATCTGCTCTAACCTCTGGTTTCGTTTTCCTTCGCGCTTGCCCGAGGAAAATCAAATGAGAAGAGAGAATCGAGCAGCTAATACAGTATATATTATCATTTCATTAAGCACTAATAATGACTATAGCATTCACAGTCTTATGATTCCTGTGCTATGTATTCCTACGTTCCAAACGCTCATTCTTAGTTATTTTCTGCGTTTTTTCTTTCCTCGGTTTTGCCACTACATATTCATCATATTCCTGTATTTTTTCCTATTCCTATGCTTTCAATTCCTGTGTTCCAAACAGGCCCCCAATTTATGACCTCTTCGGAACTTGGATTCTAAAAACATAAGAATGGAAACATAGCAAGATTGGAGTACTGCTAAAA